TTTTTTTTTTTTTTTTTGTCGCCTCGCCTTTTCAAAAAACACGAGCGCAAAGTTACGCGAAACCGTCCGGGAAAAACCTGCGTCGGGACGAACGAAAAAAAAACAACCTTCGTCGAGCAGGACGGATCTGCCGCGCTTTTTGTTTTTCTCCGGCGGCGGACCCCACGACCGCATTCCAGAATCCGGGGAACACGCCGCCCAAACGTTCGGACATACCACAAAAAAAAAATTACCAACGGCAAACCCGCAAGCCGGCGAGGTCCGCGGACGAGGTTCCGGAAGCGTGGCCGAACAAAACCCCCGGCGGCCGGAACTTTTTCTCGATACGGTTGCCGCTCAGGGCCACGCTCATTCATCACGAACCCCCGGGAAAAGGCAATACGGGCAAAAAGGATAATCCAAGTCTTACTTCCTCCTAGAAGGGGATCGAAGGAAAGAAAATGGAAAGCAGGTTATTCCATCACCTTTGGCGCCCCAACCCCTTGAAAACCGGATATTTACCCCTTCCTTCTTCGCACCGACGTTAGTTCCCCAATAAATGCAAGAACTGGCGAAATAGAAGTGCTGGGAAACCCTTTTAACCCGTTTCCTGCTCTACCCATCGCAAGTTCCACCACTTCGCAACGTCCAATTTTTTGATGGTTTTCCATCCGGATATGCCGTCCGCAGTAATGCCCTCCGAAGCGACGTAACTGCGAGGAACTCATATTCCGTGCGAGCGCGAACTCTACGGCCTTGGCTTTCGCCGCCTAGGCTGTGACTATGCGAATATCCGAGGGGCCAGTCAATCAGACGTATTTTAAAACCGTGTAATGCGAGATGAACGGCACGCATCTCCGCTTGGGGTATCATGTGTGGGGTGAATGCGCCCATGCACCACCTGCCGCCAAAACTTTCCCTGAATCCCTGAATAACAACGCTCTCCACCCGTACATGGATTTGTCCGTTACTAGCGTGGCGATGGGTGGCAACTGCTGTGGTGGGTGAACTGGCTCATTTTCTGAAAATGTTTTGAGCCAATTCGCCTAATTTCCCTCGCATTTGATGGTAAATTTGCCTGATCTTGTAGCCATAAAAAACCTCAATTTAAACATGACAATCGCCGACGCACTATTTTTAGGAAAAAATAATAAGGGAAAACAGATTCACCCCAGACTCCAACCATGCGCACATCGCACGCGAAACTTTACCCTCCAATTCTTCAACTGTTGAGTGTTCCAATAATAATGCTTCTTGCAACTTCTTTCTCTTTTAGCTTAGGGAAACCTTGTTTTCCTTGTGGTTAAAGTGTACTCCCATGAAATCTTATTCCTTTCTTTGAAAGTTTTTGTCATCTGCCATTCCTTTTAGGATTGTTTTGATCCACCGTGCGTCTTCTTCACCGATTGCCGAATGCCTCGTGGCCCTGTTTGGATCGCCCCCGAATATCTTGGGAAAGGACTCCCCAATCCACTATTATAGCGTTTGGTTTCCCGACTCTTCGGTGCAAATTTTTCTCTCTGAAGTTTTTCTATTTCTCCCCGACGGCCGGCTGTAACCCAATCCAGTCGTAAAGCCAATCGACCCTTTTCCTCTGGCAGAATATTGTTGACCACATCCAATTCCCATCTCAAGATGGGGCGTGCGTCTTTTATGTGGTGCCTGCGGCCGTTGGCTTTTCCAGCCCGCCAGAAACATTTGAGTTGGCGTTCCCCTTGGCGCCATCATGGCGGCCGTTGCTGTTCGCGTATATTGTAAAGCGCTGTTCTTTTTGAAATTTCAAACTTATGATAAATAACGGAATATCTTCTTCCTGAATCTGTAAATTGTTCTGCGCAGTAAACTCGATGAATCCTCTCATTATTGCGGCTCGCTGTTCCCGTACTGTTGAGGTCCACGTGCGTTTTGCGATGCGGTTGACCTCTGAAAACGACGCCGCGATGTAAGGATCGTTAGGAGGCGCAGGTGTCATAGTAAAATTGTTAACGGCTGCCGTGCCGAGGGGGGGGGGAAGCGTTATCGACGGGAAAGCTCGCCTCAAATTTGTTTTGGATGCACGTTTTGTTTTTGCAGTAGCGCAGGGTTTGGGTACCGGCAATGATTTCCACAATGACCGGACCGAGGGTTGTATCTACCGATTTCTCCAAGAACCAAACATTCCAATTTTTCCCATTCCACAAAGCAAAAGGCAGAGTATAAATGGGCAAATTGTCATTTGGTTTAGCCCGAAAGGTGATTGGGAAAGTACTGTCTCAAGCGGCCCCCAGGTGTTTTTTTTTCCTTTGTTGAGGAACCCTGGTGGCCATTTAAAGTTCGCAAGAGGGCGGAAGTATTCCCGAAGGAAATCATTTACACTTTTGATGGCGGAATTGGGTGCCCCCAGAACGCACCCGCCACCCAATAACCACTCCACCGCCGGATTAATCGGCCCCAGCTTTCAAAGACACGCACGCCAATTTCTAATCTTGAACCCATTCACGGCTCAAAAGGGTAAAAGGTTGGACGCGTGTAAATCGCCACCTGAGCAAGAGATTTTACAACATTCAAACAACTAAATGAAATCCCGGGGAACGGATTCATGGCATTCACGGGGCCATTGGGGAACTGCAAAAAAATGGAAGGAAAATTTGCGGCAAAGATACCCAAAATTTTGAAGAAGCGCGCCGGGCCCTCTCTCCCTCCAGAAAAAGATCGGCGTTATAAATGCGGCGCTTTGTTTTGGCATTGCGGCGTGGTGGTTCATGAAAATTAACCAAAAGCAACGTCTACACTCGCAAGAAGAAAAGAAACGGCAGGTATATGCAAAAGAAGAATTCTTTGGAAGTAGCACGCCGTGGTGCTGTGGTCAAGGCAAGGTCTCTGCAGGGTCCCGGCGGCACTAAAAAACAATCCAACACTTAAAGAGAAACGGCCTATACCACCCACGTGGTCCGCAGCATTCCGCAATAGCAGCTGAACTAAGCAATGGGGAGGGCTTTCAGTTCACAAGGTACGCGCGGCACAAGACAGCGTATAACACTATTACTGTTGTACTCCGTTTTGGTGTTCTGGCAAACGGTATCTGCTTTACCTTTTTTTCCGACTTAAACTACATACATTGAAGCGTTTGTGCGGGGAACTGCCGCTTAGCAAAACCATTTTAAATATGCCAAACTGGAAACAAATAGGTTTCATAAGAAGATCCTCCAGGTTATCAACCTGGCGCGAAATTAAAAGACTTTGGGAAATTGTTTCCCATTCCGGGTCCCATGCTTTCAGATGATAAAAGGCAGCGTGTTCCAGCGCACTTGGAAACTCTCAACTGTATTGGTTGCAAGGCGTGCGTCGATAGGGAATGTTTTTAGACAGCCAAGAAACGACAGAGACCATTCGTTTTGCCAAACAATGGCGCTCGTTTTCCGGAAGGGGCGATGAATGAAAAAAGCCCTAAACGCTCCCCCAGAGCGTGACCGACTGAAATTGAAAATTGTCTGGGCTACCTCTGGCCGAAGGAATGGGATTTGCCAAGCGTTAATGGCAAAACGCCGCTTCTTGCACGCAGGTGGTGTCGTTCTCTCGGGTTTCGGAGCCACACCCGAAAAAAAGAGGTTCAAAAGGGTTCCGCGCAGGATAGCGAGGAACGCACCCAACGGAGGAGAGAAATGGACAATTTCGGTAAGGGCGGCCGGAAAAGAGATGAAGGAAAAGAAAAAGATAACTACACCAACCAGGAAAAACGCTTAACATGTTTAGTACCCGCGGGAAATGGCGCCGCCACCCGTTAAAAGAGAAACCTTCGCCTTTCGAAGCGGCAGCGGCGCTGGTTGAAAGCGTTCCCGAACCCAGTTTGAAAAGACCACTGGGCAATCGCTCGGTTAATCGGGAAACCTTGTCACAGTGTGACGCGCCCACTGGGTCATTTAAAAGGGATTGTAAAAATTCGGAGAAGTATGGCATCATCCATTTTTAGAAGCCCATGGAAAGGCAACGTTCTAACATGGGCTTTCCCTGAACATAAAAATGAAGGAAATTCCATCTTTTTTAAAAGGTATGGCATTTTTTGATGCGCATAGGGCTCTAATTGCCCCACGAAAAGGCAAAAGGAAAAAAAATAAAAGCATCTTCCCCCAAACCAGGCGGATATGCCAACGCGAAAATTGTTTACAGAATGGCTTCGCAACAGAAACCCCACACAACAAACCAGAAAAAAAGTCTCGAGAAAGATTTGAACGGACGCGGAAAATCACGTGATTGCCATTCATATACCGAATAATGGATAAAAAAATCCCCATTTGAGGATTTTTTGGAAAACGATATGTTTCTTCCAGAGGGTGGGCGGCTGCCATTCTTTTTTTTTTCACGGCTTTGTTTAAGATGGCAATGGTATTGAAAAAAAAAATGCATTAGCGCATAGATGAGTAAAATGACGACGATTCTTCATGTCCGGTGTGGTATAGTGGCTAGAACAAGCGGTTCTCACCCGCTAGACCCGGGTTCGATCCCCGGCATCGGAAGTTTTCAGCATTGAACTTCAAAAGTTGCGTCAATTTCTTTTTTTTTTTCAAGAACTCTTTTCTTCCTCATTCTTTGGAATGTTAAGTGAGAACGTTCTTATTATTAGTTTTTTTTTTTTGGAAATCTCAGTGGAGGTTTAGCTACGATATCGGGAAGCATTAAGAGCAGCGGTGATCTTAAGGTACAAAAAAAAATTCCAGGATTCCCTTTCCTCAACCCGAAATTATTTTAGTGGTTTCACCAGCGCAATGTTTTACCTAAGAGTTGATATTAAGAAAAACACCGCCCTTCCCCATGAGAACTCCACCATAAAACACCATCAGATTCACTATGACTGAGATACTTGCTCTCTACGGCGCCCTTCTTGATAAGAATATGGGATTTAGCATTCTTGGCGAGAGGAAACGATTCATCGCCGAACCGTCAAAATTCACCTTTGCTGGTCACCGCCATCGTTGCTATAGATGGCATTCCCACGTAACAAGAATCACAAGTGAGATTCATCGCTACCACCGGTGTGTGAGAAGAACCGAGAGAAAGTTCAATGCAGAGTACGCCAGAAGTTCTACGCCCACCTAGCCCCTCTCGCCATCCACGGCAGAAAATTCCATCTGGGACAAGGTCTGCCCCAAAAAACGAATTCCATCACTGCACGATGCAAAACAACGAAAACAAGAGACTTTCCGGCATTAGTCTGTCCCACATGTGGTCACCAATGTGTATGAGTAAATCAGGCCCAACTCTACACCGAATGTCACGACACGGGTATCAACCTATTCGCGCGCACGCCAGCCAACGCGACGAATGCGAAGAAACAGCTCTGCACCTCTTGAGTTGCCCCACTCTTCATCCACTGCGAGTTCAATTTGCGATAGTTGATGATGTACCCCTGATGAAACTATGTTTTTCTAAGCGGTTAGCACAGTTCTTTATTGCGGCGGAGTGGAACTACGCTATGCCACAGACTTCACAACCAAGAAACCCTACGCAACCTACCTCCCCCTCTGTCAGCCCTCCCTCGCACATTAGAACTGTCAATACCCTCGATTATGGAAGACTTGATAGAGTCGTTTGTAAGAGGCTTCTTCCGCAGACCCAAGAAGCAAGAAAAACAAATAGGAGTTCATTGAGCCCAATTAAATTCGAAAAAAAAGCAGACCTGGTCACGGGGTTTTGGACAGCAAAGCGGGAGTAAAGAGATCTGGTTAGATTTACTCGATCAGATTTCTCGCAGTCTGGTTCTCTCGAATGGGTACGGCAGTAAAATGAATGCAAAAGAAAGCTGTAAACTAATGAAAAAAACAGGAAAATAAACATTACAGGAGTCTGGAAATTCAATATAAGAAAGGGATCTTCGTTTACACACCGCACTAAGTGGAGAGTAACTGCGGCGCTCTGCGTTTGTGATGTCTCGACAAATCCGAGCATAACCCAAAAATGGAGGAGGAATAAAATAAAAAAATAAACTTCAGGGCCAAAATCAAAAAATGATCAAGAAAACCACGAAACCAAAGTCCCTTCAGATCACATTTGGTGGCACCTTAACGTGGCGAATGGGGAAACTACAGCTTATTTAACCTTGAGGTGTCCTTTGCCAATCTTGATATTCCAGAAGCTGTAAGTCCCAGTTTCCATTGCAAAACAGAATTGGAGAGGGTTGCCGAGCCTAGACGAGTTCGTATGAGGTATTTTTCTTCTCCAAAAATTCCTTCACGCCATCCCAAATTACTTCGGGATTGACGTCGAAAAGGTACTACTGAGGAACCGCGATGCTTCCTGATTTAGTAATTTTTTATTGGATCGACAATATCCTCTTAATTTTTACGTCGTAAGAAATTGTAGGTGAATAGAAGAAATAAATTACGCAGGATGTACGGAAGCCGGGCCCTCACGGAGACGAGGGAAAGAAAAAAAAAACAGAAGAATTTGACTTCATAGGTGTAAATTTCACCCAGAAAAGTAGACAATTGCTTTCATTAAAAAAGTAACGTAGTATTTGCGTGGGGTGACATATGTTCAAAGTGCCTTGGTCAAATAGAAAGAAATTCCGCTTTCGCAGATGATGCGTACACCTGGGCTGCGTCTGTGTGTGTGTCGGAAATCTGCTTTTCCATATTATTTCTTTTTTGAAATCACTGCAAAGAGCACCTTAGACTCGTAATAGAGAGTCTTCGCATCCTGAGGATCGGGCCTGTTTTTTTTTTTTTTTTTTTT